TGCCCAGGGAAGTGGTTGAGTCACCACCCCTGGAAGCATTTACAAGACGGGTAGATGAGGCGCTTAGGGACATGGTTAAGGGGGTGTTGGGTTGACGGTTGGACTCGATGATCTTAGAGGTCTCTTCCAACCTTAATGATTCTATGATTCTATGATTACTAAATGAGAGGGAAGAGGAAGTACGCTGGTCAGTACGAGATTTAAGGCCCTCCTTTTGAGGAGACTTAGAAAAGGCTATTTACCAAAATATCATCTGAAAAGAAGGGTCCAAGACTAAGCCAGGCAGATGAAATCTCATATGGTCAAGCAAGCAAACACACACTTTCTTGCATTCAACAATGCAGGAGGCAGAAACAACAAAGGAAAAGAAACAAAAAAAACACGTACAGGAACATTTTTAATATAATAACTGCTTATATACTTAGCATACTTAGATATAGATTTTAAGTAATGAAAAGCAGCACCTTATTTATAAAGCAAGTAGTTCTTCACACTTTCAAGAGATACAAGAAACTTTGCAAAATTTTATTTTCGTCCTATTTTTTTTCATTTAACTAGATTTCCGTGAAAATTGTGGACAGGCCCACAGCTAGGAGCTGTTCATTTCTGTCCCAAAGCTTTAAAATGCACTTTGTCAGCTAAATCAGAGGTCCTACTTCTACTTTCTTGACTCCCCAGAAGTCCTTTTTTTTTGATGCCTTTATTTTTTTTAAATAAAGGCAAACAATTCAGATTCCTAAAGTTATTACGATCTACTTACCATACTCTTTCTATTGCTGACTGAAACTTTCATTCCAATCAGCGATTTTAACATAGCAACATGAACATAATTAAATCATCTTTCAAAGAAGTCCTCATTTTTCTCAAGGTAACAAAAATAGCCACTCTTACTTCATTAAGTACCTCTTTAAAACATTGGGAACATGAAGAACATTGAAGCAATGTCTAGCAGTTCACCAAACAGTCAAGTAAGTTCTTTAAAAACACGCACAAAGACGTTACCTTTGTTTCTTCAATCCTCATTGCATCCAACAGATAGTGCAGAAGTTCCTGGCTGTCCTGCTGCTGGAACCCCTTAAATCGAGGAGCCCTATGAAAGAAGCGGCCAGAAATTTAAGTTTACCTTGGGAGGTTCTTAATGAGACACTGTCTACATCAGACACTTGTTGGCTTCCAGGGGTACAAATAGGTGCAATCCCTGTCGGACCTAATGGGGCTTTAGGAAGCTCCCGGTGTGGTTGCAATTACACCAACAAGGCTGCACTTTCATCTGGGTAGCATTTTGACCCTATTGGGGATGGCTTGACTAAAATACAGCTTTGCCAGTAGGGTTCCATCCGTGCTAGCAGCACTTCGCTGACAGACCACACCAGTACTTCTGTATCACCAAACAGTCCCAATGTCACGCAGGAGATCCCTGCCCACGGCAGGGGGGTTGGACTAGATGACCTTTAAAGGTCCCTTCCAACCCAAACTATTCTATGATTCTACGATTTTCAAAGTGCTTAACCTCCCTTGCTATCTCACCCTTCTCTCTACCAAGAAGAAATCTTAAATGTGCATAAAACAGTCCGTATATAGTAAACCAGAAACAGCACCACAGTCTGAATTGGAAAAAGATGAACTTGAAATGGAGGGGAAGTCACAAGGTTGTGCATCAAACAAACAAAGAAAAACTGCGGGTCAGAATCCAAGTAAGAATTTCTTAACTTTTTAAACAAAAGTATGTATAACCATCTCTTCCGAATGGCTCCACAGTCAATCAATCCAGTAATCTGCAGCTTACTGAACTGAGTGAACAGTCAATGAGTAAGATGGCAAACATGCTAAAAATAAGTAGCATCACATAAGCATATGGATTTCAAATGCTATTAAGAAAACATAAGAGAAAATTGTAATAATATGATATCCTGATATATGTAATTTACATTGCATTCAATTAGTCTTTTATTTACGCTACATTTCTTCAATTAATATTAGAGATATTGGAGGTAAATGCTCTAAACATAGGACTTCCATTCTAAGAGCATTGCTAATGAGAAAAGCCAGGGTTTGGGGTGGGGTTTTTTTGGTAGGAAGATTTAATCACTCTTCCGTTATCAGGTAGGAGTTACTCTTACAAAGTTTTAAAAGGACCTTTTAGCATTGTGAATTATCAACTCACATCATATCCACATCCAAACTCCGGTTCTACAGTCTAACAAACTGCAATACTTCACGGCTGAAATTCATATTAAAGCATATAGTATTACCAAAAGCAAACGAAACGCATCTTCATACCTAAAATGGGAAGAGCTCCGAACCGATGACACAATCTCTTCACAGTTGTTTCGATTCAGACAATACATCTGAATCCAGATTCCAAAAGCTATCAGGTCTACAAAAGCAGGTAATTGGCTACACATTGTCTGATTTTTTTCCCCCAGAGCTACTTACGGGAGTTGTATACCCAACTGGTTTTGAGAGCAAAAAAAAATCTGAGCTGACAGAGGTTGAAGTTTCACAAGTCTTCTGCGCTAATTCAAAGGAACCTTCCTGATTCACCCTCGTAACAGCCAAGTATATCAAGTATTTTGCTCCCACTGCATATTAAATACATAAACGTTACAAATTTTAGCTTTTTTTCAATTCCTGAGTGCACCAAAAAAAAAGTTATCTGGACAACCCATGGAAGATCATAAGGTATCCATACTGTTACTGTGATTTAATATCGCTACATTTCCTATCACCGCTAATTTACTTTACTGATCTGAATAGCCAACATTAAAAAGAAAATCCTGATACAATGCTATTTTCTCATGCTAATCAGGTTTAGAAGACAGGGGATAGTGTGGTCCATCCCATCAGAACTTTACAACCCTTGGTAAAATCTTTTAAAGTCTCATTTCCGTGCCACATCCGTAAGCACGGGTGGCACACACACCAGCCCCGAGCCCACCAGAACCGGTTCCTGCACGGCAGCCCCCCGCGGGGATTTCCCTGGCCAACCCCAGAACGGCGGCGAGCAGCATCTCGGGCTGAGCGTGTGAAGTGGCCTGCAGGAGAAAGCCACGAGGCTGCAGCTCCCCAGCTGTGATTTTTTGTGGGGTGAGTGATAAGCACTTCTTGTATAACCGCGTGCCACAGCCATCCTTTTTACAATAAAGTTGAATGAAGGAGGGGTTTTTTGTTTTGCTTTAGTTTTGAGATCCCCAATGAGCTAAAAAGCATTAGAGCTGCAACTGAAAAAGATACTGCTTCTGCACAAATAACAACATCGCTACCTTTTGGATGTGTGATACTGAACAACTGAAATTCCCAGATTACAAGCCCACCTTCTAGAACGTACTGGCTACTCAGGTTAAACAGAGATCTAAGTCACCAAAGACTACAACAGCTTCTTAACAAAAATAAAGGCATCTGCGTACTTCCAAACTTTTTCTCTCTAGAAACTAAAAGGCTTGAAGGAAAGGGTCTACGTGCCTTGGAAAATACACATTTGGTGTCGCCCTCGCCCTCTCAGACTACAGCCCCCTTCGGGCTGTCCTCCTCCGTGGTGTCTGGCCACAGCACCAGCAGAGACAAGCCAGCTTGCGAGTCAGCCCAAGGACGCAGAAGGGACGCTGGCGCTGGCTGAGTTTGTACCGTTACGCTTCACTATGCAGGACAAACAAAAACCAAGGGCTCCACGGGAAAGGCAATTCTCGTAAAAAGACCACCAGCAGCATCCACATGAGCCTCATAAACCAGAAGAGGAAAAACCGCTGTTTCAGGCTACGCTACCATTTACACCTGTGATGTTTTAGTCAACTGCACAGGGGTAACGTTGCATCTGTTCATAAGCCAGGCATTCAGTCCTCTCAATCACTGCTATGCAAAAACTGGAGATCCCTTTGGTACTACTCACAGCATCTCAACATACTCTAAAAATCATATTTTGCCGGCACAGTTTACACAGAAATTACAAAATACACTTCTGACTATGTGGATAGATCCTGAAGGGGTTATGCTTACTAAGATAACCATAGCTAGAAGGTTTCTCGTAAACAATTCAGATCTCCAGCTTCCTGCAACCCCAAATGAGACCGTGTAAATATTCACTATTAACATACTCCTATTGACATTGGCTGTAACTGGCCAAACCATGCCTGTCTTTCCAGACAAGTCACCCTTTAGATCTTTAATTAAAGTCTTGGACCAGTTCATCTAAAATGGGATTGGAAAGGGTGGGTTTTTTTGCATTTCCAGTAGTGCCGCCAAACGGCAGCTGTGGCTCTCGCTGCACACTGGGAAGAGCACAAGCAGGCGTAGCCACGTGCAACCCTTCCAAAATCTAGCACAGGAGACAACTGGCTGAGCAGGGCTCAAACAGGAGTTTTAGCAAACTGGCAGAGCAGCCAGAAAAACCAACCACTTACTGGGTTACTCAATTTTATTAAGCGCGTGTTGAGCCAGTTTTCATTTTCAGCCTCAGACTGCATGCTCTGGCTAACCAGCGCATCGAGCTGTAAATACCTATCAGTATTTTCTCAAGGCACAATAATCTTACTTGCCCAGCCACGCTCTTCAGCTGTTCTAGGGTTCCTGAAGATGCGGTTTCTTTCCCACTCATACACTAAACTGCTCAGGTTTGCTTCAGAAATTTGCGCTCATGGACAGGAGAAATGAAAGGCGATCAGAAAACGCATCAGACGTGCGACGTGCCTACAACAGTGAAACTTAAGGCCAGGCAAGATGTCAAGATGCCAGGCTAGGGCACAGCAGCCCCGGGCTACAGGCAGGACAGTGATACAAGGGTCTCAGTTCTGAACTGCTCGCTGGAGGCGCTTTGGGATGTAACTGGAGAAGGATCTAAGGTGACGAGGCATCTAAGGTCAGCGCCTAAAATTAAGTGGAATAAATCTGGACCTGCAAATGCAAAACAACATGTTCACATTTACAAATATGATACTTTCACACTTGTACTTCACATCTACTTTTTGACACAAAGTTGACAATACCACTCGTTAAAAATGATTTAATGACGCTGCTCTGCTATGAGGCTTACTATAAAATCTGGAATCAGCAGAGTGGGAGATATTTTTTAGCGTTCTTTTTAAAGCTAAATTTTTTTTTGCATGTGCAGGTCAACCTAAAAATTAATTTCAAATTTTAAAAAAATCAATTAATTCAAACTTGAAATGCTCCTCTTAAAAATTAAATATTTTGGTTTAATATTATTAAAATGCAATTTTTTGCTTCGATTAAAATCAAATGTTTTATTTCCAATTAACTTGATTGTAAAAACTAAATACATTCTGAAAAGCACCGAACCTTTATTTCTGATCCAACAGAACACTCAATACACATTAAAAAAATAAATAACTTATGTACCTGTGTGCGCATGTTTACATGCATGCACAGTTTCACTTTTCAATTTGCTAAAGCAGTTTTCTCATTGTTTCTTTCATTGAACGGCCAGGAATCTGAAAGAATCTTTTTTTTTTTTTAACCCAGATGCCGAAATCAGTTCAATGCTGAGAAATCTACTTAGTTAGCCACAGTATTATCACTAGTTTTATTTATGAGAAATTTCTTGTTTTCCTGAGACAGTGGGAATCAATGGGCATATTCAGCCTATCTCCTTCAATATATGCACAATAGCTCCAGTGTATAGCGAGAAAACAAAACCTTGCATTTACACAACCTGGATCCCAGTACTAATAGGAATTTACCTTTTTTTTTTTTTGCCACAGAGGCAGGGCCAATGCAAGAGACATTATAGTAAAAAGGAAGAAAAATGAGTAATTACTTGCCAAAGAAGCAAGCAAAAACTCCATCACTGTTCCAGGAGTTTTTTTTCATTGTAGACACACCCCAGAGCTGGATCTTCAATGAAAATCAGAAAAAAGCCCCACACATACTTTTCATTACTGTTTATTGTTTGCAGTGTAACCTCGCGCTGATGAACACAGAATAATCATTTCAGATGAAAATTAATTTACTAAATGATATTCCAAGGGAAAATAGTTTACCCATATGTTCCACACCATTTTATTAGCTTAAATGAAAGGAGGGAAAAATGAACTCGGCCATGGCAGTTTTCCGTTTCTCTTAATCTTTCCTTTTACT